ACACACACACACTCTCTCTCTTTGTAATGTCATTAGTAGAGAAGATGTTTCCTGCTGCTTTGATCTGATCTCTCCGTCTTTATCAGGATGACCTCAACCCTTCGTCTTTGACACTCACACATACAAACACAGGCATCCTTCTGTCTTAAAATTGAGTGTATTTGGTGAATATTTTGATTCATAAATATTACAAATTAATTGTCAGCATCCCACACACTCTCATTTTCTGAGTTAATTGTGAATTTTTTATTTGTAGGTCAACATGAATTCCCCTTTGGAGTAGATTAATGTTTGTCCTGTTCTGGGATGACTTATATTTGATGAAATTAATGATGTGTTTGCTTTCTTTTCTCCTCTCTCCCTGCCCTCCCTTCCTCCCCTCTCATCCCTCCTTTGTTCTCGCGGTCAATCCTCTCTTCACCTCTCTCCCCCCTTCTTCTTCTTCTTATCCCCCCCCACCCCCGCCCCGATGTCGGCAGCCGGAGCAGGGATTGTGGACCTGACAGAGAGAGGCAGACAGCCTTATACAGACTTTCTGTGAAAGCGACACACACATCTTGAAACACAGTTGTTTATTGGTCTCCACTCTCCAGAGGGTCTGGGAGGTCCCTGGAGTGTGTGTCTGCTTGGGTGCACGAGGTGGGAGGGTGTGTGTTTTTTATGTGTTGATGAGTGTGTGGGTGTCTCGCGTCACTTTTCATGGGACATTGAGAGATGTGTGTGTCACAGCGTCGGTGGACGGGCTATAGGGGGCCGTGCTCCCCCGCCCTCCCCCTGATCTTCCTCCTCCTCCTCCCTCTGTCCTTCCTCTCCTCCACGCCTCCCTTCGCTCAGGGAGCCATCCAAATCCCCGAAAACTGTGAGTATTCCTGCAGCACAAGCATTTCTCACCATTCAGTATCATTTCCTTTAAACAATATCCTCAAAGTTAAATGACCCTTCTTAAGCCCCGCCCCTTCTCACTCTGTGCTCCAAACCGCAGTTTCTCCCTTGCGCTTGGAAGGGGAGGGTGAAGCGAAGGAGCTGCAATCTGCAACTACACCTCTATATGCCACTAAATCCTACACACTGGCCCTTTAAGATAGCTAGCTAATGTTAGCAAAATTCTAACTACATAGCTAGCTAATATAGATCAATAGTTGATCTAAAGCCAGCAAAAAGGGGCGGGACTTAGGAAGGGTCAATTAACATAGAAACACAGCACTCACAGATAATGTAATGATCTTATAGGTTTATGGCCACTTTTCATTATTTATATTGTTTTCTGTTGATTGAGTGCTTTTAAAAGTCTGCACACATTATCACACATAAGATATGTTGTGACAAAAATAAAACATCACATGTTGCCGACTACACGTGTTGTTTACGGTTTCAATCGTCAAAAGTGTCAGCACATTTATTTTCATAGCACGCTGAAAGGAATGGTGCTACTTCTTTTTCTTTTTCTTCTTTCATGTCCTTTTCTTGCCATGTTAATCTGTCTGTTTGCTTTGGTCCTGTGATTAATCCTAAAAATGTACAAAGGCTAAATGTTGCACACAGACAGTCTTAACAAAGAGAAACTTAACATTTAAACACATTCACATAAGCACAAACACAAACACACTTATCCTCACAATCAGCTTTAGAATGACCTCCGGTTTCAGAGGTTAAGTTCAAAGGTCAGCAGGCATTTGCCAAGATGGTCCCAGAGGAGAGGAAGAGGGGATGAGAGGAGGAGTCAGGTTCAGTTTGACCTTCAGCCAATGACCTCCTCCTCGGGGTGTGGCAGAGAGAGCAAGAGAGATGAGAAGACGAGAGGGATGGAAAGAGGATGGAAATGAGAGACTGCAGGTGGTGAAAAGAAAGAGATGGATGAAGGAGGACAGGGAAGGTGAAGAGATGAGTGTAGAGGAGAAAGATGGAGGGAGGGAAGGGTAGGGACACAGAGGGGGAAGATGTAAATTGATCAGGGACGCCATCAAGTCTGAGTCAGAAAACTGAGAGGAAGACAACTCTTTTAGACGAGTCATTATACTGTCATTATTTATAATCAAGTAAATGAATAAAAGTTCTCCTCTGGAAACAGCGTTTTAAATCTGCCATCAACATCCGCATGTTCAGCTCAGATCTGTGTGAGTCTACAGTATTTTAAACTAAAACCTTTCTCTAAGTGCTTCCTTTTCTTCTCTCTTTTCCTTGCTTACGGGTGGACAAACAGATAAAGTGCAAAACAGTAAGTGACCTTCCTTGTTGTGACAATGAAGAAGTGTGTGATGGCCCTTGACCCTTTATGTCAGCGAACACATCATTCCCACAAAGCTGTGGTGTATATGATGGAGGCCGTCAGTCCAGTCTGTCTTATTGTTGCTGCTGTATCCCTGACTGTTCGTCCTCCATCATCCGTCTGCAGTACGGCAGCCACGCAGAACAGATAGTGAAGACCTGATCGCCAACATTTTGTCAGATGGGCAACATTTGGAGAAAAATAGAGTGACCATTGGAGTTAAAGCTGCAGTTGGTAACTTTTATTAAAATAACTTTTTGTCATATTTGCTGAAACTGTCACTACAGCTTGACAGTAGAACATGAGACAGATAATATGCAAACAAATCAGGTTCCTCTGACTCCTTCTAGTGCTCTTAATGGTATTTGCAAGAATCCACCGGGCCCGTACGAAAACAACCAATCAGAGCTGAGAAAGATAGAAAGACACTTTGGTTTGGTGGTTAGAAGGTAGTTGATTGTTGAGTCTCATTCCCAGCGTCGGTATTCAACGACCTGGAATGGAGATTCATCAATCAACTATTTTTCTCAGCTCTGATTGGTTGTTTTCATTCAGGCCTGGTGGATTATTGCAGATGCCATTAGGAGCTCTAGGAGGAGCCAGAGGAACCAGTTTTTTTTTTTCAGTTACCTGCTGCAGCTTTAAATTAATTTAAAATTATTTGTTCAACCCCAAAAAATGCATGTAATCCTGATTGTCAGTAGGGTAAAAACTATTTTTTAAATTAAATTGTAGGGTAAATATGTGTTACCAATGATGCTAATTAAGGTTCTGTTCCATTCAGGTCAAACAGAGTCAGTTTGCTGATAAAATAATTGGCACACAGCAGCTTTGTTTAGCAGATATCAATGACAGACAGGTTTTGTGTGAGGGGCAATAAATGCACTTTATTTACACTGAACCTCGTCTGCACTGGGCAGCACTTTATCGTGGCTGCCACTCCAGTGGTTTGATGCTTTTAACAGATACATCTTTTTCATGTGGTTGTTTTTCTGTAACTGTTGTGATTAATGCCCCACGTGCCCTTGTACATGTTGTGTTTGTGCTGCCGACTGCAGCTTCATATTAAACGAACGGATAGACAGACGTGAAACTATGCATCTTTAAATGCAAGCTTGCTTGCTTTTAAGCACATCAGCCAAGCACTCACAGCAGGATGTGGCCACAGTCCATTATATGCTGTTTATTTATTTGGACCGTATTCATTAAATATGATCTACAAATTAGAAAATGTTTGATATGAATTATTCAGCCCTTCTTTCAACCCTGCAAAAGGCAAATAAAGTTGGATAAATGGTTGAAACATTCTGCTTCTGCCACTCCAGGTGGTAGTAAAAGCTATTAACACTGTAATAATAGTGTTAATTAACATCCAGTTCAGATGAACATATTTGGTTACTTGATCTCCTAATAATAATAATAATAATAATAATAACAATAATAATAATATGTGTGCTCTTGTATGAGCTTGCCTGTACTCAATGGTCATTACTGTACATTCAGTTGTATGTAGTATTTCATTACTGTGTGTGTGTGTGTTCAGTGTCACAGCCTCCAGTGCTGACAGAGACGCCGATATCGTACACAGCCTTTTCTCAAGAGGACATCCATCTTCCCTGTGAGGCTTCTGGTAACCCAAAACCCACGTACGTACAGCAGCCAGACCTGTGTGTGTGTGTGTAATTGCTATACACAGCAGAGTGGACAAATATAATGGACAAATGAGACATATGTATGTGTCTGGATGTTTGTCCACTTCCTCCCTCTGGCCTTTCTGTTGGCATGGCGATAAATGTTCTTCTAATAAAATCAGTGCAATAACAAAATCATGTCTGTCTTTCCGTTTCTCTTTGTCTTTTCCATCCCTCCCACTCCTCCCTGCCTGCTCTCTCCTCTCCTCTATCCTCTCTCCTCTCTAACCTCACTCCTCACTTTCTCTTCTCTTAAATTCAAACTTCGCTTTTTATTATTATATAAAGGAAAAGACCAAAACCAGCCATGTGTTAGTCTGTTTCTCAGTGCTTTCCTGTTTGTAATTCTCAGCTATACATAGAATAACTCACAAATAACAGTAATAGTTTTAAGAAAACATTACATAAACTGAAGGAAATAGTGCATTTATCAAGGACTATTTTCAGCGGCGGATTAATGCACATTATGGATGCTCTAGTGACTTTGGGCGGCGGTGTATGTGGGATGAGTCTGAATAATTCAGTGTGAAGGAACATGTAACACCAGTGCACAGTGTGTCTCACTGATAGTGTTTTTTAATAGCGCTTTCATACACAGACAATTCCTTGTGGTCGTTGAAACTACAGCACTGATTTTAGGAAACGCATTTGTTTTTAAAGAAAATATTTTGTAAGATCTTCATCTTCAGTAGAAAGGCACAGACAGGGTTTGTTGCAATTTTGGTCGTTTTATTTTTAGGTGTTCAAGCCATTACACTGTGCTTGCTTAATTTGTCTTTGAATTGTTGTTTAAGTGCACGAACGTCTTTACTCCACAGTTAACCGACTGGCATGGAAGGATGGCATTGATTTTTGGATCCGGAGCGTAATGACTCGGGACGTTGCGAGCTGAGGCGATGAGCTTCTCACTCAGTACGAAGGCTACTACCGCTGCTCGACGCTCCAACAATGCTAGGGGACCGCCGTGACACAAACCCGTCGGTCATCCGTGGAGCCGTGAGTCACAACACAACACACAACATCATGGTACACCAACACACACAACACACAGACACTCACAGAAGCACTGTATATAAATAAGATGTGGTCTTCACCACATATATTTTATTAAAGAATTCATAGGCAGTCCAGAATGACATGAATGTTATAAGGATGACAGTAAGACACAAAAATTCCGATCACAACATACTCTCTGTTATCTCAAACACCACACCACCCACACAACAACACACATACCTATACATGCTCATGGTGGAGGTTGACTGGGCCCCTATTCTGCTCTCTCATCCTCTTGTTACCTGTAAAAAGGCAACCATATTCAATGGAGACCTGTACCGTCACAAAAACCCATCGGCCGGAGAGCGCACAAGAAAGGAGAATTGCCAAGCGGAAGGCAGTGCCGCGGAAGTCGGTGTTTACTGACAACCTCCGAAAAACACACACACACACACACACACCGGTCAGAGTATCGAATAAAAAGGAAGTACGTTTAGCTGAAGGTATAACGACTGCAGGGGTGTAACTTCCACTGTTTTTCACATCTGAGCAAAGACTCCAAGACTGTCCCTCTCACTGTACTACGATGACACAAACTGCCTGTCTGGAGTCTCTTCTGGTTCCACTGAATTTCACCTCTCAGCTAACATAATGGTGGAGGTTGAACTGAACTGTACAAACGCCTCTAAAGTATTATTAAATCATCATGTTGTTTAATCTAGTAACAGACAATGAAGTAAAAACCTGCTGTTATAGGGGGTCAGGTGGTAAAGCTAGCTACTAACGCTGGATGAACACTGTTGGACACCTCTCAGGGTCATTCCCAAATACATTTAGTCGATATACAGCAATACATTACTTATTCTAAAAAAGATGCTAGAATTGAGCATCAGTCAAGATAAGCGAATGACTCTTTGGAGTTAACCAGGATCGGAAAAAACAGCTATTCATCAAATACCTAGTCTAACTGGACAGGAATTATCATAAATGTTACAATTTACAATACTCTCCATTTAATTCCCCCTCAACCGATTATTAAAATAATCCTGCACAAACAATGTTACAGATAATTCAGTGTTCTGATAAATGCTGAAAAAGTTTAAAGTAATGGATTAACCCATACAAAAATAAAGCTCCTGCCACCCCAAGATGCTCGTAGACTAACTAAATAACACTGTCAAATACAATAGTCGGGATTCTTGCAATTATTATCCATTATCCCATTTCCTCTGATCAAGTAGCGTTTGCAGCAACAGTTCTGTACTGTAAAACAGCTGGTACAGTATGAAAACCCACTCTGTAAAGACCAAACTTGTAAAAGTAAGCTGCAATGGGTTAAAAACAGAACAACTGTGTAGCAAAGAAAGGAGCACTGACTCACTGCAGCCTCCCTGCCAGCATCCTGCCTGCATCATTCTAACAGCCCCAATAAGTCGGGAACGCAGGGCAGCAACGAAGATCAGCGGGCATTACGCACTGTTTTGTCTGCACGGGGCGCACACCGGCACTGCAGCCCGGCGCGTCGTCACTAAAAGGTCTGGATCCATCTTGATCGACTGAGTCGCGCTACTCTGTAAGGTCCAGGTCTGCTCGGATTTGTGTGCTTTCAGTCAACCAAGGTTTCTCACAAACACCAACAAACACACCGAATCTGGCGAGCTCAGTGGAAGCACAACAGCACTCAATGTTTCGTTAACCTCCAAAAGCTCCCAACTTCAACGTCATCACTGCGCGCCGGATGCGGACAAAGAAGCGCGTGCGTGTTTGGTAGCTGTCTGTGTTTGTAGCGTCTACTCTTCACCAGGTACGCGCATTTCGGGCTGACACACAGAGACCCATTGTCTTCACTTGAGTCGTCGCGCAGCGCTCTTCCTGTTCACTTCTATGCTTCATCGTGTCTACAAATTCCTCGACGCACGGCCTTTTGCAACGTTTTGAGCTGAGGGCCCGCGCTCGCGCGACGGGATTCTGATCGTGCACCGCAGTCTGCAGAAGCGTTTCCACTCCAAGCTCATACAGGCACACTATCAGCTCATGGCTTTGGGCTGCTTTTCTACTTTTCCTTGTCGCTCCTTTCCTCTTCTTCTTCTTTCTCTCTCTCTCTTCAATGCTGGCTAGATGAAAAAGTGGCCTTTCAAGCTCGCATCAGATTTTGTTCCAAACTCACACCACAGCAATTACCTTAGTAGGACAGATGCACATCCAACATAGACCACTTAAACAAACAACAACAAAAGGATTTTTGTTTCAGCTGCACCGTTTAAGGAAATTCACACGGCTCGACTACACATGTACTATGAAAAGGAGAGGAGACTAGTATGAGCTATCTCTCCTGCTCCTTGTCTCATCTCCAGGGATGGTGCACATCATGCACGAGTGACAGAGTGATGGTCGGCCCCTGGAACGGGAAACTTGTCTTTTTCCGAATCTTTAAACCTGGGAGAGACAGCAGGAACGACTACACTGGCAACGCCCCCAGTATGCAGCAGCCCAAGGACTATTCTCCCCCAGACCCACCGCCGTCCACGCTCACTGTCACGTCCAGTGACCACACAGCACACACACACCTGGAGTGCAACGGCACGCATACAAGGAAAGAGTGAGGTGTTCCACGTGGAAGTCGTTCCTTTAAGAAAACCACAAAGAATGAAGTACACCACAGACCACACGGAACGTTTCCAGTGTCTCTTGTCAGTGAATTTTGTGGATACAACTTTGGCAAGGTGATGAACACCAATTCTCCTCACACGTAGGCTCATTTAGTGGTCTCGTCGGAGAGCCAGCACTTCTCGCCCAGCCTGCGGTTGAGATCTGGCCCTGGCTCAATTCATGCTTGAGCAGAAGGTCACAAAAGTTAAGAGTTCTAAGTCCTGCTTTAAACCGGTCTTTACACCATATGGAGGATTGTACATTACAAATACATATATCTAGCATAACACGTACACTCTAACCACCTCTTTCTGGCTACTGTACGAAAGTCATAGCTGAAGTAATGCGCGCGTCCTGAGCCTTCAACGGTTAGTCGTGCAGCAGCTGAAGGGCGCGGAAAAGGTGACCCATGGCTTGTTCTGTTCATCGGACTGCCTGGTGCTACGAGCAACCTATTATAGTTGCTTTCTGCTTCTATTAAGAGAGGCCCTCTGTGAGTCCTTTCCCATAATGGGTTTCGTTGTCACGAAGTAGAATAAATCTGAAACCTCACGTTAGGTTGACGCCGGTACGTTGGAGCCAGCACATTTAGCTAACTCTTACATGGCAGCGCACTGCTCACGCCCAGTTTTATTACTGTGAAAAAATAACTGTTGTCAATTTTGGCCCAACTTGTTCCAGACCTGTATATCTTGATATTATATCCATAACTACAGCACTAACCTGTCAAAATATCCCAGTCCTGTAATGTTCTGCAAAACCTGTCTTTACTCTTGACAAGAGACACCAACCCACCGTTGCCGATAGTCCATATTTTCTTCAGTGTTAATCTTCAGTTTGATCTAAAAATCAAGTTAAAAACCATCAACATCATTTCGATAATGAAGCTCCATCAACGGATTAAAGTTTAGTGTCGTAAAGTTCGATTTCAATATGCCTCTCTTCCTTCTGTCTCCGTGTCGCTGCGTCTCGTCGTCTCGTCTCTCCTCTCTCACTCTCCAAGGTAATGAGTGTCTCTCATGTTTAGGACCAGACGCCCCACTCTTCCATCCTACAAGCCACCACAGCCCTGTGCTGGCCCTTCAGGGGACAGTAGCGGTCTCACCCTTGAATGTATCCGGAAGCTCCGTAAAGGTTTCCGACTCTTTTGTGTGTTTGTCGTGGTGTATAGGAAAAGTGTGTTCCCGTGCTGCCTGCCAGGGTTGTGTCCAACACACGTGCTGTCCTTTCCTTGCTGCACTCTTTTCACCTTTACACAATCCCTTCATGCCCAGCCAGCACGGCCAAAATGCGACCAGTTGAGGTCACGAAAAGAATATAACTTCAGTACAGAATACTTCACTTCAATGACACTTTTTTAGTAAAATAAAATGTGTGTAACTATTTACAAAAGTGGTATATTTTTAAAAAACAGATACAGGGCCCATTATTTCATCACACAAGCACCAAAAGTGTAAAGGTAAAGCGTCTGGGTGCTCGGGGCTCAACGCTATTTTGGTTCATTGGATGTGCAGCAAACGTGTAAAAAGCTGCGTGCCTGATTCAATAGAATGCAATCTCAGCAATCGCATCACTGGTCTCGATGGCACTCTGAAAAACCTTCGCAATCCACATTAGAGGAAAAACAAAAGCAATAAGACCAGCACAAACAGTCAACAATAAGACTGGCTTGAAAACACAAAGAGACAAAATAACTACTGACAGCAAGAAGGCAGAATGGTGTGAAGGTTTAAGTGAGTAGGTATTTTTATTAAAATAAAACTT